TTAAACAATATTAAGTCTTCTAATTTATGAATACAGGATGTCATTCCATTTATTTAATGTTTACTTGTTTACAGTACATACATAATCTTTTACCTCCTTGATTGAGTTTATGCCTAAGTATTTTATTTTATTTTCATGCTATTGTGAATGAAATTGTTTTCTTTATCTCCCTTTGGGAGTATTCATTTGTATGGTATAGAAACATAGCTGACTTCTCTATATGTTAATTTTGCAGTATGCAAATTTTCTGAATTCATTTATTAATTATTAACAGTTTGTGTGTAATCTTTAGAATTGATTTATCCATTCAGCCAATCTATATCTTTTGATTAGGGAGTTTAATCCGTTTATATTTAAAATAGTTATTGATAAATCCTACTTGATCATAGTATATGATTTATCCCTGGGATTCATGGATGGTTCAACATATGCAAATCAATAAATATGATACAGTATATTAACAAATTGAAGGATAAAAATGACATGATCATTTCAACAGATGTAGAAAAAGCACTTGCCAAAAGTCAATACTCTTTCATCATAAAAATGCCAATAACATAGAAGAAATATATCCCAACATAATTAAAGGTCATGTCTGACAAGCCCACAACTAACATCTTACTCAATGGTGAAAAGTTGAAAGATTTTTCTCTAAGATTAGGAACAAAACATCGATACCCACTCTCATCATGTCTTTTCTACATAGTACTGGTATGTACTAGTCCTAGCCAGAAAAATTAAGCAAGGACAAGAAAAGATACAAAAGAAATTTCAATCAGAAAGGAAGAAGTAAAATTGTTTCTGTTTTCAGATGATATCCTATATGTAGAAAACCCTAAAGACGCCACTAAAAAATTTTTAGAACTAATAAATTCAGTAAAGTTACAGAATACAAAGTCAACATTCAAAAATTAGTTGCATTTCTATAAACTAACAATGAACCATCCAAAAAGGAAATTAAGAAACAATACCATTTAAAATAACGTGAATAAGAATAAAATCCTTAGGAATAAATTTAACCAAGGAGGTAAAAGACGTAAACACTGAAAACTATAAAATATTGATGAAGGAAATTAAAGGAGACACAAGTAAATGGAAAGACATATTGTGTCCATGGATTTAAGACTTAAAATTGTCAGAATGTCCAAGCTACCCCAAATAATCCACAGATTCAATGCTATTGTCATGAAAATACAAATGGGTTGTTATTGCTACAGATCTGTTTATATTTTCTATTTCTGCTTGGGTCAGTTTTTGCAGTTTATGTTTGTCTAAGGAACTGTTAATTTTATCTATGTTGTCTAATTTACTGATTTATAAATTATTCACAGTATTCTCTTTGAATTTTTCCTTTTTTATACAGTCAATAGTAATGTCCATAATCTCATTTCTGATTTGAGATACTCATGTCTGCTGTTTTTTCTATCAGACTAGCTTAATTTTTGTCAATATTTTTTTATCTTTTCAAGCAGTCAACTTTTTTTTTTTTTTTTGAGACAGAGTCTCGCTTTGTTGCCTAGGCTAGAGTGAGTGCCGTGGCATCAGCCTAGCTCACAGCAACCTCAAACTCCTGGGCTCAAGCAATCCTGCTGCCTCAGCCTCCCAAATAGCTGGGACTACAGGCATGCGCCACCATGCCCGGCTAATTTTTTCTATATATATTAGTTGGCCAATTAATTTCTTTCTATTTATAGTAGAGACAGGGTCTCGCTCTTGTTCAGGCTGGTTTCAAACTCGTGACCTGGAGCAATCCGCCGGCCTCGGCCTCCCAGAGTGCTAGGATTACAGGCTTGAGCCACTGCGCCCGACCTCAAGCAATCAACTTTTACTCATTTTTATGATGTCTGTTGATATTCTCATTTTGTGCATATGTCATTTTCATGATTTTCTCATGTTTCTTCTATGGCTTCCTTTAGTTCTATAAGCATATTTAAGAAAATGGTTTTAAAGTCTTTATCTAAGTTATATGCCCGGACTTCCTGAGAAATGATTTCTGTCAATTTATTTTGTATGCCTTGTTTCTTTGTAAACTTTCTGTCTTTTTTTTGGTTGTTGAAAACTGGATATTTGAATATTAGAATATTATAATGTAGTAACTCTGGAAATCAGATTATCCTGCTTTACCTGGGTTTACTGTTCTTGATTGTTAAAGGCCTCAGTCATCCATTTGTTTAGACTTTTCAAAACTATTTCTTGCAAAAAATGCTGGCTTTGTTCTATGTGGTCACTGGAGTGTCTATTCCTTTAGCTGGTGTTTACTAGTGTTTTGACATAGGTTTGCTTGAACGCCAGAAACTAAAAATATCAGACACAGAAACAAAAACACCTTAGTCTTTTTGGATTGACTCTGTGCTGAGGCATTCCTTCAGCAGTTACCTATGCTGTTTACAACTCTTTTTTAGCCTTTCCTTCCTGTTTGCATCTTCTCAGGTATTTTCTAAGCACTTGTCCTGCTTTGAGCATGCTTGAGGCTTTTTAAATTCTCCAGTACACCTGGGTGTACAAACTTTGTGTTTGATACAAACTTTGTGTTTTCAGAAAGACTGTACCATAGAGTCTTTAAAAATGAGAAGCTAGCACTATATAATTGCCAAGATTTTGTATAGCTCTGAGTGTTCATTCTTTTATGATTCACTTGACTAGGTGCCTATATTGTCAGCCCATTTGGGGGCTGACATTCAAAACCCATTTGGGGTTTTGAAGCTAGATGTATAAAAATCAGAGCTATGGAATTAGCTTTAACTATTTTCATTTCATATTTTAAAAATTTATGTACACTAAAATTCTCTTTCTGGTATATGAATGTTAACAAATGCATACAGTTACACAAAAAAAATACCAAAATCAATATAGAGAACAGTTTTATTAATGGAAGAAAAGCCAAACGCTGTAAAATAATTTTAAAGAGATTTATTCTGAGCCAAATTTGAGTACCGCGACCCGGAGCCACACCCAAGAAGCCTTGAACAAGTGGACTCACTGTGGCTGGGTTACAGTTTGGTTTTATACATTTCAGGGAGACAGAGGTTACAGGTAAAGTCATTGATCAATATGTGGGAGGCATACAGTGGTTGGCCTGAAAACGTGGGTCATCTCAAAGTGGGGGAGGGCTTACAGGTTATAGATGGGTTTAAAGATTCTTTGGCTTGTAATTGGTTAAAGACATGAAGCTTTCTCTAAAGGCTTGGAAAGTTTTAAGATAAGGAAGGAGCTGTTAATCAGAGACAAGTCACAGGACATATATTTCTGTGTAAACTGAGGACCTGCAGGTTTGTGTTGCATACCTTAGGCCTGTTAATGGGTTACAAAGCTTATCTCCAAGAAGGGAGGGGGAGGCCAGTGCGGTGGCTCACGCCTGTAATCCTAGCACTCTGGGAGGCCCAGGCGGGCGGATTGCTGGAGGTCAGGAGTTCAAAACCAACCTGAGCAAGACCCTATCTCTACTAAAAATAGAAAGAAATTAATTGGACAACTAAAAATATATATACAAAAAATTAGCCGGGCATGGTGGCACATGCCTGTAGTCCCAGCTACTCGGGAGGCTGAGGCAGGAGGATCGCCTGAGCCCAGGAGTTTGAGGTTGCTGTGAGCTAGGCTGATGCCATGGCACTTACTCTAGCCTGGGCAACAAAGTGAGACTCTGTCTCAAAAAAAAAAAAAAAAAAAAGGAGAGGGGCTTGATGAGGCATGTCTGACCTCCCTCCTCCCAGCAGGCAATTTAGTTTTAGGATATTCCCTTGGCCAAGAGGCGGGTCCATTCAGTCAGCCTGTGGGAAGTGAGCCTTAATATTTTATTTTAGTTCATAGTTTCTTCACCTTCTCTAAATTTTTCTTGCCTGTGTTTATAGCCAACCTGTCCCTTAACTCCAGTCATTGGTTAACAGTAATCTGTTTTTCTCCCCATAATTTTACCTTTTCTAGAATGTCATGTAAATGAAAACATACAGTGTGTTCTTTTCGCTCTGACTTTTATCACTTGGCAAAATGAATCAAAATAAAAATTTTTGATTCATTTATACTATTTTGTGTAACAGTAGTTCATCCTTTTTATTGTTGAGAAGTATTCTGTTGTATGAATTTGCCAAAGTTTGTTATGCATTTATTCATATGGAGGGCATTTGGATTGTTTTAAATTTTTGGCAATTGTGAATAAGAACCCATAAACATGTGAAAACAGGTTTTTGTATGATAAAATTTTCATTTCTCTTGGGTAAACATCTAGGTTTGGGAGTCCTGGGCCTTATGTTAAATATATACTTAACTTTCTAATGAACTGGAAAACAATTTTCCAAAGAGACTATAGAATTTTGCAGTCCCATTAGCAATGTATAAATGTATTAGGTGCTCATAAGTTATTTTTGTTTAAACAATTATGATAGGTGTGAAGTGACATCTCATGTGGTTTAAATTTGCATTTCTCTAATGTTTAGTGACCTGAAACATCTTTTCATGTGTTAATGTGTTATTTGTATATCTTTTACCATTTTTTACTTAGTTCATTTTGAAATTGATCTTTCAGTGTTGTTTGTGTATTTTGGAAATGTTAGATTTTTTGTGAGAAATGTGCTTTTGGCTTATAATTTTATTTTCTTAATGTCTTTAACATAAAAGTTTTTTGAAAATATGATATAGCACAATTTAATCATTTTTTTCTTTTATAATGGTTATTTTGGTATTGTATTTAAGAAATCTTTGCCTAACCAAGGATCATAAAGATTTTTCTTCTACATTTTCTTCCCAGAGATGTATAGCTTTTGGTTTTATATTTAGCTTTTTGGTTCATTTTGAATAAATAAGAATTATTTTTAAATTTTATTTACAATTTTAGAATTGTTTTTATACTCATTAAAAATAAAAAATTTTGTTTTTTTTAAAAAAAGTAGCTTCAATGTCACAAAATATTTTTGTTTTTGTAAACTGCTATTTTGCTAGATCAATGGTATCACATATTTCTCAAAGCAAAACGTCACAGGTCTAATGTATTTTTTTCTTTCTATCAGGTGATAACATATGACTTCATCATTCAAGTTAAAATTAATTTCTTTGAGGCTTCAAAACTCTATGCTCAATATTTGTCAAGTTCTTCTGTGAATCCAAAGACAACACCACTTATTCAACCATGTTATGTTCAAGTTACTGGTATGTAATATGAAACAGTCAATTGATGTAGGTAGGCCAAAGATTTACACTTAAGCATCTAAAAGTTTAAAAAATCAGAATATGATATTTATTTTTCAAAAATAGAAATGTTAGAAATTTAAATTATGATATGATTCTTTTGTGTCACTTAAATTATGTCTCTGAGATTGAATTTTGGTAAACACATAAGCACAGAAAGATTCTCAGATAAGTAACTTTCTAAAAATATAGAATATATTAATAATTCAAAACATGTCAATTTAGTACTTTATTGTGTGATCAATTTTTAGATAAGACAAAATGTACATTAATAAAATAAAAAGCATTGAATATGAAATGAAACAATGACAATTTTATCTATTTTATCTATTTTTAGAATAAAAAATATTTTTATTACAAAGGAGCAGGTTACTAAAAGACTAAGTACATGGAAAGAAGACTAAACATATTAAAAACTTAAATTATGTGCTCAATATTTACTCACTTTCTCCACATATTCAAGGATAAAACTGATGTACTCTGCAAACTATAGTTTTGACAAAGCTTTGGCTTTGTATTCAATCATATATGCTTAAGTATTTTTCATGAAAAGTCAAGTCTATATTTTCATAGTTCTGATATTAAGTTAAATTGTCATTAATTATAAAATAGTGATGACTTTCATATCAGTTAACAATTGCATTTGGCAGCTAGTAAGAGAAGTCTCACAAAAATAGCATATACATGATAGAAATTTATTTTGCTCTCATTTAAAATCCAGAATTAGGAATTCCTCAGTTGATATGAATGCTCCATGAAGTTAAAGTTTTTCCCTAGTTTTAATAAATTATTTTGAAAAAGAAAATAATCATTGTCTAATTTTGTTTTCTAGATTAGGTAGATAATCTTTCATGAAAAATAAAATTTACTTATTTGACAATTAAAAAGTTTGGCTGGGCGCGGTGGCTCACGCCTGTAATCCTAGCACTCTGGGAGGCTGAGGCAGGCGGATTGCTAAAGGTCAGTAGTTCGAGACCAGCCTGAGCAAGAGCGAGTCCCCGTCTCTACTAAAAAATAGAAAGAAATTAATTGGCCAACTGAAAACATATAGAAAAAATTAGCCGGGCGTGGTGGCGTATGTCTGTAGTCCCAGCTACTTGGGAGGCTGAGGCAGAAGGATTGCTTGAGCCCAGGAGTTTGAGGTTGTGTGAGCTATGCTGATGCCACAGCACTCTAGCCAGGATAACAGAGTGAGACTCTGTCTCAAAAAAAAAAAAACAAATTAATATAGCATCATGAAGGAAAATCAGAAAATGTAGAAATGAAAAAATCACCTGGAATGCCCATCTTTAAACTATTCTTAATATTTTGATATCTTTCTCTTTTTTTGTTCTATATGTTTCTGTACATTGCTTTTTAATTTATTTTTTAATATGTTTGGAATCTTGCTGCTTATGCTAAGTTGAAACCATCTCTTTTAAATCTTTTTTTGTCAAGCTGTGTCTTTTTATTTAAAAAAATTTTATTACTTTTAATTATTATGGTTACAAAATAGTATATATTTATAGGGTACACATGATATTTTGATATAGGCATACAAAGTGAATTAATCAAATCTGGGTATTTGAGGTATCTATCACCTCAGGCATTTGTCATTTCTTTGTGATAGGAACATTCTAATTCCACTTTTTTAGTTATTATAATGTGTACCCTAACTTATTGTTGAATATAGTCACTTTGTTGTACTATCAAATATTTTTCATTCTAACTCTCTAACTATATTTTTGTATCTATTAACCATTCCCATTTTATTCCCCCTTCCCACTACCCTTCACAACCTCTGATAGCCATCATTCCACACTTTGTTTCCATGAAATCAATTGTTTTTTTTAATATTTAGCTTCCACATAATAAGTGAGAACATGAAAGATTTATCTTTCTGTGCTTGACTTATTTCACTTAACATGATGTTTTCCATCCATGTTGTTGCAGATGACAGGATTTCATTCTTTTTGTAGCTATATAATGTTCCATTGTGTATATGTACCACAATTTCTTTTTCTATACATCCATTGATGGACACTTAGTTTGATTGCACATCTTGGCTCTTGTCAATAGTGCTGCAGTACACATGGGAATGCAGATATCTTTTCTATACACTGCATTCCCCTCCTTTGGATATATACCCAGCAGTGGGATTGCTGGGTCATATGGTAGTTCTATTTTTAGTTTAAATAGAAACATTTGCTCAGATGTTACAGTCCTTTATTATATAAAATAGCACTAATAGCTATTACAGACTATTTCATACTGTGTCTCATCTAGGTTATTTAAACATCATCATAAGCATTTAGGTAAAATTTTGTTTTACATTCTTGTTAATATAAACATGGTAGTGGTGAACATTTTTGTGTATAATACTTTTTCCCTATTTAAATTCTTTTTTCAAGAGAGATTCTCAGAATGGATTGCATTAACCTTAAATTATATATATGTTAAAGGCTCCTAATGTATTTTATCAAAGGGTTTTGTAAGAAGCTGTACTGTTTTAAAGCCTTCCTAGTGTAAACTCTTACCAGTGTTGAATTAAAGATATTGAGTATCTTACTATGTGATTAAAAATATATAATTTCAATTTATAATTTTTGGTTGCTCATGAGGGTGAAAATTTCTTATCTTTGCTATTAATCATATTTTTATATAAATTTTCTGTTCATGTACTTCACCTTTATCACTAAGGTTTTATATTTGTCTGATAGATTTGAGTGAGCTCTTTGTATATTTTTTTCATGTTTAATGTGAATGTTTTGCAAGATTTGTTGTTTGCCTTTAGTTTTATTTACTTTTCAATAGATCTCTTTATTAACTTTATGATAAAACCTAACTCTCTTTTCCTCTGTGATTTCTAACATTGCTTTTAAAAATTAAAATATCTTCCCCATCTAGAGAGTTGGTAAATATATAATTCTAGGTGGTTTTCTTTCTTTCTATTTTAATGATTTAAAAATTTATTCAACAATTTATATAGTTAATTAATTATTAACAAATAATATAGTACATTCACAGTCAGTCAAGGTATCAAAGCAGACTTAATTGTATCATATAACTTAAATAAAAGTAAAATTTACTAATGATTCAAGCTATATAAGTAAAATCAGGCAGATATATAGCATTTCTTTCTGGGAAAGCTGATATCTGTCAGACACAGCTTCCAAATTGTCCTTTTTTCCCTCTCTAGGATTCCTTTTGGTTTTGAATTAACAGACAAGTTTTTAATTTTTTATTGTATATACTTAAGATGTATGATATAATATTTTTATATACTTATACACAGTGAAATGATTTCTACAGTTAAGCAAATTAACATATCCATCATATCACATATTTACCTCTTTTTGTGGCAAAATTACCTAAATCTACTCTTTTAGGAAATTTTCAGTATACAATGCAATATCATTAACAGTAATCCTCATGCTGTACATTAGATTGTTTTGAATGACATTTTCAGAAACCTTGTTCTCAAAGAATCCATTTTTGTTCAGTGCTTCTCATTTTTGTATTCTTAAAAGTTACATAGATGGGAAATGCCTATAATAAATTTCTACTCTTTACCAGTCATACTTCATAAATCATAAATTCAAGGTATTTTTGATAGGTCATCCAGAAGGATAAGATATGAATGGCAAAGACCTTCTTTGGATAAGTCCACCAGTCAATCTCATTTCTATTTTAACAGGGAGGTCTGATCAAATCCATCATTCCCTCAGCAATCACGCCAGTAAAAGGAGATGATTCATAAGCCTGCTGTTATCTTTTTACTTCAAAAATACATGCATTCATTTTTAAATTAATATAGTGCAAACAAAACTTATAACCCAGAACTATAATCCATTATCCCTCTCCTCCTTTCAGCTTATTCTGCACCACAGAGGTAGCAACTTTCCTCATTATTTATCTAATGAAGACACTATTTAATGACAAGCTTTTTTCTTCACTTTCAACTCTAACCCCATTTCTTTATTTTCCTAATATAATTATACCTTAAATTTCAATTAAAATTTTATTTGGAGTTTTAATTATTATAACAATATATTGTTCATTGGTGAGCCAAGCAGTGTACCATGAAAAGTTATTGTATTTCCTTCCTTTCAACTTTTTGTTTTTTTCTGAAGTTGATAATTACTTAATTGCCCTTGAATATTTGAATAATCCTCCAATGCCACAAAGCTCTATATATACTTGTTAGGACAATGTCCCATATGCTCTAGGCTGTCAGATTATATGTCATTTCTACTTATTTTCTTGAAACAACACTCCTGGAGCACATGCAACTCCTGCTCCCATATGGACTATATGGTTTCTTTCCCTAAGGCAGAGCTTTTATATGAGACTTCTTTTTACTATAATTATAGCATTTTCTTTTAATTCTTGGATCTCCTGTTTCTTAAATTCTTTGCTTTCCTATTTCTTGATTCCTTCATTGTTTTGGTAGATTATATCTTCCAGGAGCTTCCTAAGAAAATGTACAAAGAAGTTAATTTTTTGACAATTTCCGTATCTGAAAATATCATTGTTTTTCCTTTTACAGTTGAATGATATGTATGTTTGATTGAATATAGAATTTTAGATTGAAATAATTTTCCCTCAGAATTTTGAAAGTACTGTTATTATCTTCTAACTTCTGTTGTTGCCTTTAGACGTGTAATGTTCTTCTTCGACATCCATTATATGTGACTCAATGTTCCGTCTTTGGAAGCTTTTAGAAACTTCTCTTTTCCCTTAGTGCTCCATTATTTCATACTAATTACTTTCATGCGAATCTTTCATCTTTATCATTGTCCTAAGTTCTTGAGGGCCTTTTCATGATGAACACTCATGTCTTTCAGTTCTATAAAGTTTTCATAAATTATTTCCTTGAAAATTTCCTTTCCACCATCATTTGCTCTTTCTCAGATTACAATTGGTTGGATTTTGCACCTCGTGGGTTATGTTATATGTATTAAGTATGTATTCTCTCTCATTGTCATTTTTCTCATCTCTTTGTTATATTTCCCAGAATACTTTTCTGACTTGATTTTTTTATGTCTTAAAATATTATTTTTGGCAATTTTAAACTAGCAAGAGTTCTTAATATGTATTGATTATTTGTTTATTTATAGCCATTTTTAAAGAAAACAATACCTTATATCTCTAATTATATTATGATGATTTCTTTGACATTTTCTTCTGTTGATTACATTGTCTCTATTTTTGCAAAATTATTTTTCTTTACATGTCTTTCATGTTGGGTAGTTGCTTAATTATTGACTCTTGCCTGTTCTCTCATGTTTATTAGTGACTCTCAAAAAGCTGGCTTCATCACTATGTATTATATTATTGTCGGGCGATCAGGGTACTAACGAATGTTTTAATTTGGAGGGGGAAGATCTGGAATGTTAGTCTGTGAATCTTTAATTTTGAGTGGTTCACTTTCTTCTGGAAATAATTCCCTAATAATCTGTAATAGGGAAAATATAACTTCTTTGCTTAAATGAAATAAGGCTCTCTAAATGGCAAAGTAATCTGCCAAAATAATGCTTTGCTTTTATAGATATAACCAACCTATTAGTTTCACTGATTATCCCTAATTGCCAATTTGTAAATGAAAAGGCCGTATTACATATACCACTTTCTGTATATCTGCCATAACATTGTCTTTCCTAGGATTTCTCATGACAGGTTTTGGGAGTGACATAATGATGAACACCATCGACAACTTTCTTCTATCCCACATGTCCTGACGCTCTGCCAAAGGATCTATTAATTCCTGTGGTATAATAAAAACACATGTAAGACACATACATTGTTGGGATTGGAAGCTGGTTTCTTTCCACTTTCTTATTTTCCCCAAAGCTTGTGAGATCCTTTAGCTTCCATTAAGAATTACAAATGTCTTAGAAGTTTCAAAAAGTATAGGTTTTTCCAGCAAATAATAATGTTTTCTTCTATAATGAAGTGAGTATTTTTACAGATACCTTATTCCTAATCTTTCATAGAATAGCCTTTTACTCCCAGAGCTTTCTTGTTTTATCTAGGAAACATTATGTGATATGCCATCTATATATTTTCTCTGTATTCCAATAATTTTCCTTTCTACATTTCTGTTCATTTTTGCATTATTCAAACTCTAGTGAGGAGATCATTTTAGCTCTGTTTACTTTTTTCTTAGCATCATATTAAGTACATTTTATGCTTTTTTATTGTCTCAAGGGTAATTTTCCTATTTTACTTGTAATTTATTACCATTTAAGAAAACTCTACAAAATGGAAATGTGTAAGTGTGATAAATGAAGATAGAGTAAAAGTGTTTCAAAATGTAATTTTATTTTTTCTTTGGGAATATAAAATAAATTGTATTTTATTATTGTTTTATATTTAAAAATATACTAAGAAGTACCTATAATTTTATATCTATTGATATTTTATCATTATATTTACTTTCCTCTCATAGTATTGCAAGCACCATTGATTTTATCCAGTACTAGGTTTGTGTTTGAAATCCCTTTACATGAGATGGATCCTAAAAACAAGGCCGCAAAAACTGAGGTATGTATAGATAAGTGATACAGTTTACAACATTGTTGTGATTATGGTTTTTAGTTTATTAAGTTGATTCTTCTGAAGCATGAGTGATGTGCCCTATTCCTTATGATTAATTTCTTCCCAAACATTTATGTTTTTGGAGCAAGAATACTGGCATGTTTTTAGAGAACATGCATATATATAATTTCTCAGATGTAATTTTCTAAGTATACAAACACATAAAAGTTATTTAATAAATATTTATATATACATATATTTAACAAGAATATTCAAAATAGTTTGCATATAATTACATCATCCCTCTCTCCTTATACAAATGGAAGCTATGATTTAAGTTAATGTAAAATGTGTTTCATACATGTAAGAAAATGTGGTGGAAAGTGATAATAAAAAGTGAAAAAATCCAGGTATATAATAAAGTAACTTTTGAATTAATCTACTCTTTTTTCTTACTGGATGTCTCTACCTCTCTTTGAATTAGGAATCCGTCTAAAAGGAAAAAAGAGACACATGCATAAGAAAGAATTTCATGCATACATTGTAGAAATTTGTATTTACACTTTCATTTTATCGCTTTCTGTGTTGCTATTCCTACAACCAATTTTGAGCCTCTATAGCAATGAAGAAAAATTATATGGAGGAAATATTTAACATTGCATCCATAAAAAATGGCAGAGTGCTATATAAAATTATAGTTAGAAATCAATAAAGGATCTCTCTTGAAATTAAAATGAGACAGTTTAGAGTATAAAAAGTCAATGAAACTTCTACTTCTAATGGAACTTTAAGGATGCAAAAGACTACACTTTAGTGAACTGAATAGAATTGGTAATGAACTGAATAGAATTGGATTTCAGATATAAACAATCTCCTCATAAATGTGGGATTATTTTATATCATTAAATTTTATTCAATTGATGTAAGAAGAGAAGTTTTAGACACCAATAGCCTCTCTGAGTGGCAAAGGGGTCACACTGGCACAATGGAGAAAAAAATATGACTCTAATACACTACTGATATTTCCCATAAATGATATTTACAGAGTCATAATAAGATGTACAATACAGAGAAGACTTAATATGTTTATGGGAGGTTAAGTTGACAGAAAAGTTGGGAATGGTAGAAAAAAAGAGGAGTGAAACATCTTACATAGTGGGTAATTAAAAGCTATTGTCTAAAGTTGACAAAAAAGAGGTGTAAATATATTGCTTAAAATTACCAGGTAACTAATGAAACAATTAAAATAATATGAATATCCAAAAATGGGAACTGGGAAGAGGCAGGGGCAGTACCAATGAGCTAAATCCTCATCTTTTCTAATGGGCAGTTGAGGGACAATATCTGAAGCTGATAAACCATGAGATAGCCATGTGGCAGGCAAAATAATGACTCCAAAGATGTTTAAGACCTAATCTCCAGAATTTGTGAATACATGATCATATATCACAAAAGATAATTTGCTGATGTGATTACTGTCAAGGGCCCTGAGGAGGGGAAATTATCCCGGATTGTCCACGTCATGCCAATGTAATCACATGAGTGGTTAAAACCAGAGAACCTTTCCTAACTGCTCAGAGAGAGATGTGATGACAGAAAAAGGATTAGAGAGATATGGTGTTGCTGACTTTGAACAGAGAGGAAGGAAGCTATCAGCCAAGGAATGCAGTTGGCTTCCAGAAACTGGAAAAGCAATGAAAGGGACTCTTCCTTACAGCCATCAGAAAGGAACACAGTTCCTGCCAACACCTTAATCTTAGTCAAGTGATATTTGTGTTGAACTTCTAATCTACAGGACTGGAATATAATAAATCTGTGTTTTTGTAAGACACAAAGTTTGTGGTAATTTGCTGTGGTAGCAATAAAAAACTAACATAAGCCACATCAGCATCATATTTAGAATAAACCTATTCTAGATAAAAAACCAAATCAGAATTGGCTAACATCAGTTGGTTCTGCCAAGCAGAACTGTTGATGAGGAGTTGAGTGGATTAACTACTTTTTAATAAGCATTTCTGAACATTTTGTTTAAACCACATATACATATCATTTTGATAAAAATATAAAGAAAAAATAGTACTAAACAAACTATTCAGTTTTTCTCTATATAACTGTATCAGTTCCATTCTCAGAATTATAGAATATATTATAGAAGGTAGGTAGTATTTTGGCGATATTATAACTTTTCCTTATTTTACAATGACAAAAGTTGGCATTCAAATGGTTGGTATGATTTTGTGCCAGCATTCTATATTTTAAAAGATGTTTTTTTTTTTTAGAATGTGTAAATTAACTTTTCATAGTCAGGGCATACAAATATTAGAGCTAAATAGATGCTTTTGTACTTAGAGGCATTGGGAGTAGAATTGGCTTACATTTTATTCTATACTTTGAATTAATCAAGCTTTAGAAAGAAATGAAGTATGTATTCTGTTGTAGTGACAATTGCATGGTTCATTCTATACTCTTCAAAATTTTTGAAGAGTAAAATTAATTTAAAAAACTTGTTTGATGGTTTCATTTTATTAGTATGTTGCATTAGAAAGATGGATCTGCATATGTAAATCATGCTCATAACTCCAGATTTGCTGAAATGTTACAAAGACAGGGCAGAGAGTTCCTGTATACCCTTCACCCAACTTTTGCTAATGTTAACACCTTATACAACCATAGAGCATTTTTCAAACCTGGAAAATTAACATTGGCACAAAATTATTAACAGGCTCTTTGGAATTCAACTGTTTTTCATTAATGTCCTTTTACTGTCCCAGGGTCCAATCCAGGATACCACATTGCAATTAGTCTCCTGTAATATGTGGCAGGCTCTTAATCTTGCTAATTTTTTATGACCTTAATAATTTTAAAGACTACTTGTCTGGCATTATTTTCAAAATGTACTTTGATTTGAAATTGCCTAAAGTTTTTCACCTGGCTAGACTGAGTTAATTATTTTCCATGCAGTTTGGGTAAGAATGTTACAGAGGTGAAATATCCCTTTTATCACATCATATGAAGGGAGTACATGATATCAGAATGATTCATCGCTGGTAATATCTGCCTATTTCTCCACTGTAAAGTTACTATTTTTCATTTTCCATACTCTATACTTTGGAAATGAGTGACCACTTTCAGTTTACACTTATGGGGTAGGAATTTAAGTTCCACTTTCTGGAGGGGGATGTTTACATACATTTGAAATTTTTCTACAAGAAAAATTATTCCTTCCTCTATTTATTTATTTTATTACTTAATATATCAGTATGAACTCATGTTAATTTTATGCTTTCAGTTATAATCTGACATTACATTATTTACTTTGTTGCTAAAATTGTTTCAGCTGCTTTAATCATTAGGAGCTCTTTTAGGTTGGCCCTAGGACAGGCTCCCATCACTGTAATTTTTGAACATTTTATTGTTTACTTACTACCAAATGTTTCAGGCTCATCTTTTAATTCACTTCCACCGGCTCTAAAGTCAATATTTCTCTAAGAAGGCCTAGTATCTTTTATGATAGAATGATATTAAGAAACCAAGATTTGGGTATCGCATGTGCTACTAGGGTGTCACGGATTCTTGGCCCTTTCAGTAGATAAAGCCACGGAAAGTTTATATGTATGTTATCCCATATATGCACATATATCTATAATTATCTATCTATTCATCCATCCATCTAACATGAGTTCAAACTGATATCTCTAACTAATCTAGCACTGCAAACTTCATTCCAGTTTTTCTCCCTTACTCATTTTTAATTCCTTTCTCTGACAATGAGAAATTTGCCTCTCATTTTTTAAATATATTTACTTTTTTAAACCTTAGTTCACAAGTAGTTTCGGAATTGCTAATCTGTAACCTCATTAGAATTGCTAACATATTTGCCAACTAGAGTACACTGTTCATATACAGTTCTTTTTGTCTTTAGCTTTAGAGTTTCCAGTTAAAACACAGTTCTCTAGTTACTTAAGTCAATTCCTCCCCACCTCTCACTAACTTCAGTGAGTTTTGTCATAGTCTGCAATTCTTGAGATCCTTAACATCTTGGTTGGTTGTTTTTGATTTGGATACACTGAAGTTCACTGTTGGTAATATATAGTTCTTTGGGTTTTGAAAAATGTGTAGAATAATGTATATACCACATCAATGCCATACAGAACAATTTCATCAGACTAAAAGATCTTTGAGTCTTTGCAGTCAAACTATTCCTCCTTCCACTCAGACTTGGCAACCACTGTTTTATTATCCATATAATTTTGCATTTCCAGAATAACAGGTAAATTTAATTATATAATATGTAGTCATTTGGGTCTGAGATCTTTAGCTTATAAAAGTGTATTTAGGCCGGGCGCTGTGGCTCACGCCTGTAATCCTAGCTCTTGGGAGGCCGAGGCGGGCGGATTGCTCAAGGTCAGGAGTTCAAAACCAGCCTGAGCAAGAGCGAGACCCCGTCTCTACTATAAATAGAAAGAAATTAATTGGCCAACTGATATATATATAAAAAAAAAAAAAATTAGCCGGGCATGGTGGCACATGCCTGTAGTCCCAGCTACTCGGGAGGCTGAGGCAGGAGGATCGCTTGAGCCCAGGAGTTTGAGGTTGCTGTGAGCTAGGCTGACGCCACGGCACTCACTCTAGCCTGGACAACAAAGTGAGACTCTGTCTCAAAAAACAAAAACAAAAAAAAAAGTGTATTTAATATTATCCATATTTTTGCATTAATTAATACTTTACTTATTTTATCACTAAATTTTATTACATTGTATGACTGTACCACAGTTTGTTTCTTCATCCATTAGTTAAAGGAAATCTTCTTTTGTTTTGTATTTTTCCTCCCAATATTGGAGATAATGAACAAACATAACATTCAGTTATAGATTTTATGTAAACATACGCTTTCAATTCACTTAAGTAAATACTTAGTAGTGGTATTTTTGGGTCATATGGGAGGTATGTTTAAGATTATACAAAACTGCCCAGCTGTCTTCCAAACTGGCTATACCATTTTGCTTTCTCACCATCAATGAATAAGGGTTCTTTTTACTTCCTTGCTAGCTAACACAGCTATATTTTTGTTTTGGTTTGGTTCTTTTGAGACAGATTCTCACTCTCTTGCCTGGGCCAGAATGCTGTGGCATCAGCCTAGCTCACAGCAACCTCACACTCCTGGGCTCAAACAATCCTTCTGCCTCAGCCTCCCAAGTAGCTGGGACTACAGGCATGTGCCACCATGCCCGGCTAATTTTTTCTATATATTTTTAGTTGTCCAGCTAGTTTCTTTCTGTTTTTAGTAGAGAAGGGATCTCGCTCTTGCTCAGGCTGGTCTCAAACTCCTGAGCTCAAACTATCCACCCGCCTCGGCCTCTCAAAGTGCTAGGATTACAAGCGTGAGCCATCACACCTGGCCTAACACAGCTATATTAATATTTTTATTTTACCTCAGACTCTATCTATCCTTTGTATGTATTTTATAGTTATTAATAGGTTGTAAACATATTTTTATATCCCTTTGTTGGCCTAACATCACTTTAAGCATTTTATCTATTAACATTTTTAATCATTTGACTTTGTACATAGAGCCATCAAATTACTATGGTAATACGACTAAATTTTATACTGCATATGTAATTTTTTAATTTTTTTTCTTCTTTTTATGTGAGTAGAATCTTACCTTAGATAATATTTCAAAACAAGATGTGCGATGGATTTTGGATATTAGAAATACTGGCAAACTTTTCAAAGATGGCACATTCAAGTTTAGTATACTGACTGGGACTCTGAAACCACATGAAAAGTGTAGTATTCCCATAAGTTTCTGTCCAAGTAAGTACTCTTCTCCTATATTTGTGGTTATACTTTCAATTTATCCTTCATGCTTAAATTATTTTATCATGTATACAAAATTTTAGATTATTTGATATTTGTTCTTTTTTAATGTGAATAATTATAGATAATATAATTTTATTAATCTCATTTTTGCACATTAAAATATTTAATTGACAAATAATCTACATATTCAAAGTGTGATGATTGGATGAATCATCCAATGTGATGATTTCATGTAGCTATACATTATATAATGATTATCGTAATCAAATTAACATATCCGTCATCACCCATGTTGTACATTAGATTCCCAGGACTTGTTCATCTTATAACTGAAAGTTTGTACCCTTTGATCAACATCTCCCATTTCCCACCCCCTGGCCCACTAACCCCCTAACAGATAATGCCCTACACTCTGCTTCTGTGAGTTTAACGTTTTAGATTCCACATAAGTGACAATATATGGTATTTGTCTTTGTGTGTCTGGCTTATTTCACTTAGAATAATGTCTTCTAAGTTCAACCATTTTGTCGCATATGGCAGGATTTCTTTCTTTTGTATGACTGAATAATATTCAATTGTGTATACGTATACCACAATTTCTTTATCCATTCATCTATCAGTGGGCACTTGCGTTATTTCCATATTTGGGCTATTGTGGACAATGCTACCGTGAATATGGGAGTACATATATCTTTTCAAGATACTGATTTCATTTCCTTTGAATATATACCCAGCAGTGAGTCTACTGGATCATATGGTAGTTCTATTTGTAATTTTTTGAGGAGCGTTCTGAGAATTTTGCCTGTCATATTCAGCCACTATAGTGGAATGTGCTGTTTTCATTTCTTTAGATTTATTAAAATTCCAAATCCCAATATTGAAGATACCATAAATTAGAGTCAGCACAAACAGCCATCATGAGATTTTGGATTGCAATCTCTTGCATATGCTATTTGGGCCTCTCCACATACCTATTACTAGACTTTTCTATCTATCTCTCAGTTGTGAGTGTTGCCTACTGACAAGTTATATCTGTCCCCTTTTGCAGAGTATTGCCCTTGGCTAAAGGAAGATACCTCATGCAGAGATGCCTAGAAGGTTAAGCCTCACCATCCCCACTATTACCACTACCTCAGGTGGCACAGCCACTTACGATCTCTCTGATGAATTCACATCCTGTAACTCCCAGTGGTATTAGGTTGAAGCTAGACTTCTCAAACCACAACTTTTGATAGCTATTTGCTCTGCCCCCTATTGCTTCCCTTCTTTACCAATAGGTTCCTCATGAGAGTACTCTCTTATAAAATCACTTGCATCAGAATCCCAAGGACACTACAAGTTTTACACATGTAGTAATCTAGATAAAATACCCACAGCTAGCTATATTTTCAAGAGAAAAGGCAGGATTAGAATCTATTATAGTTTTTAAGCTTATTAGAGAGTTTATTAAGCTGTGTGTTCTCTCAATAATATTCTATTAGCACTGTGTTGTTAACTTGATGTTCTTTTATATTTATTAACATGGCATTGTATAATCACTTTAGTAGTATATGTGAGAAATAGTACATAGCATGTTGTGATTAATAGGTTTAAAAATACTTAATTTTTTATTACTCTTTAAATCTCTGAAAATACAATAGAAAATATCAATTATTTCATGCATACTGGAACTTGTTTTTTAAAAAAATAATTAGGTTTCATTATGTATTTCTGTAGTTTCTTCTCAGTTTCTACCATGTTTTGGTTTTGAAAGAAATAGCACAAAGGCTATTCAAGCTAAAGCCACCACCAGTATTTTTGTTTAGAACTTCTTTATGTCCCTCTTGACATTGATACTCAGATAAAATGTCCTGAAGATTATAGAAGGAAATAAGAAACATTTCTATCTAACTTTTCCTTCTTTGTGAGGGTGAGCCCTGGCAGTCAAATCTATGAGTTTCTTCCTTAAGTTCCCAACATAACTCTTAGGAATTAAGCACCTTTATCTAACTTACATGTAACACCTTTATATAACTTACATCTCAAATGAGAGAGAACACATTCGTCAGTTAAAAAAATGGATATTATTGAATTCCTAGTAGTTTGAGGTTACACAAGGAACCGCTTTCTTCATTACCTCAGAAACCTTTAAGAGGTCCAAAACCCAGAAATAATCTCAAAGTGGCTTCTTCAAAATCCAGAATTCAAAACCTTGCCTAACTCTGAAATTAATTAGCTTGATTTTTTTCTCTCCAAAATAATTTTAATAGCATCAAATTAATCAACTGATATCATCCTTCCCTGTAGATTTATAATATTTTAAATATTGAACACATAAATTCTGTTCTAACTCATTTTATCAGCTCAAGGTACAGATACAGTCTCTTTTTTTGTTTGTTTGTTTTGTTTTGAGACAGAGTCTTGCTTTGTTGCCCAGGCTAGAGTGAGTGCCATGGCATCAGCCTAGCTCACAGCAACCTCAAACTCCTGGGCTCAAGCAATCCTTCTGCCTCAGCCTCCCAAGTAGCTGGGACTACAGGCATGTGCCACCATGCCTGGCTAATTTTTTCTATATATATTAGTTGGCCAATTAATTTCTTTCTATTTATAGTAGAGATGGGGTGTCGCTCTTGCTTAGGCTGGTTTCGAACTCGTGACCTCGAGTAATCCACCCGCCTAGGCCTCCCAGAGTGCTGGGATTACAGGTGTGAGCCACCGCACCCGGCCCAGATACAGTCTCTTATTTTTCATATAGTCTTTCCAGTACTCATTTGTCATTATTAGTAGGAAGCCCAATGTTTCCCTGTGCATCTTCTCCTTCTCTCTCCAGCCACTTTCTTTTTTCCAAGAATCCTAGATGATTTGATCAAGCTCATTTGATCAAGTAAAAAATTTAGTACAGAAAGCACTAGTGGGTCTGATGAATTCAGTGAACTCACTGCTTTTGCTTCTGGCTCAAGGTGTTCCTTTTGAACATGGTCCTGCATTTGTCATTATCTGCTCTAGTGATATCACTGATGGCCACAGTGATGAGTGATCTTTGCCAGGCCACAATGGTGTCCCACTTTTGGGCTCTAAACTATCAGCTTGTATTTACAATTACCAGGTCATTACTGCTTCCCTGTGACACACTGTGCATGTGGATTTGGCATGTAAAATGATGCTGGGTCACTTGCTGTGATGGAAACGGTCTTCAGAAACTAGCCTGCAGTTTCCTGTAATGAGCCCTGTTCTCCAACACAAACTGCCTTTCTTCATATTAAGCTGACACATGGGAATTTCCTGTTCTTTCCTACCAGGTGGAATTGGTCAGTTGATCCTTGCAGCCTTTCTTAAACCTAAAAATCTGCAAGGAAGCACATTCCTTTCATCTCAGCACATCCCTGTCTCAGTAGTTCACTGGGATCCTTATGACAATTACCTGACCTCATCTTCATACTGCACATACAAAGGGATGGGTAGCTTCTATTGAAACACAGAAAACAATTTTAAAAAGAAGTCTTGTTGCACTGCTTAACTAAGTTATATTTATTTTCCCAAAATAATGAAAATCTACTTTAAGGAGGCTTGCTCCATTTCTAAACAGGGTACACTTTAGGAAGCTAAATCTAATCTCTGGGTAATCCGTTCTGCTCTACTAAGCTGTAACATCATAGTACATTTTAACATTTAGTAAGATTTAAACTGTATAAATGTTGTTTTGTGTGTGCACTAATCTAAAATACTTTTTAAAAATTTTTTATTAGAATATCCTAAAAAATACACGGTTGATATTCCTATACTCTTAAATGATAATCCAATTTGCTATCGGATCTTACATCTGACTGGAGAGGTGAAATCGCCCAAGTTACTGTTTGACCCTCCATTTATATTTTTCACTCCTGTCCCTTTGGATATAACAACTGTGATGGATATCAACATTTTCCCTCAAAACTATTTCAGGTAAATAATGTGAATTTAGCACATCTTCTTTATGTGCTTTTTTGTTTGTGTCCGTGTTATATAATAGTTATAAATAATGTCTGACTTGTTTCTATAGTTGTGAAGAACAATGAAAATATTCAACTGTACATTGAAATTAAACAATACCCCCAAACCCCTCTTAGTTATCTTACAGTTGATCGTTGAAATGTCTTACAAAATTTTTTTGGTGCATCTCTCTGCATGGTATAAGCAGCAAGCTTAAAAATTCAATGTATTAGTTTTCTATTGCTATGTGACAAATTACCACAAACTTAGTGTCTTAAAACATGCATTTGATATCTCACACAGCATGAATTTATTATGTCACTGTTTCTGTGAGTCAGTCCCAGTTGGCTTAACTGTGGCCTCTGCTCAGCGTCTTAGCAGGCAGCAATTGAGATGTTGGCTAGAGAAGCAGTCTCACCTGAGGCTCAGTCGTCCTCCAACCTCTCAGGTTGTTGGCAGAATTAATTTCTTTGTCATTATAGGACTAAGGCATTACTTTTTGTCTGGGAACACTCTCAGATCTTACAGTTCACCCTCAAGTCTTAGCCATGTGGTCACATCCTCACAACATGGTATCTAACTCATTCAAGGCTGAAAGTAATCTATTAGACTTCTTTGTTTCTGCTCTCCAAACTTTCTTTTAGGATCTCACCTGATTAAGTCAGACTTACCCATAATTATCTCCCTTTTGCCTTACTCATTGAATTAATTAGGTACCTTAATTACATTTGAAAAGTGCCTTTGTCATTGCCATATAATGTAAGTTTAGCATGGAAGTGATATCCCATCATATTTACAGGTTTTACCCACACTCAAGGGGTGGGAATTACACAGACTTTGTATACCAAAAGGCAGGACTCTTGGGGACCATCTCAGCATTCTACTTATCACATTCAGGTACTATAGTGGAACACAATCTGTTTTTATTTCTTTAGATTTATAAAAAAAGCCCAAATTCCCAATATGGAAGACACTATAACTTAAAGTCAGCACAAACAGCCATCATGAGATTTAGTGCCTATTAATAATAATTCAGATGTAGGAATTAGCTGACACAGAATATAAATAACTTTATTTTAAAAGATAAAAGATGGCATTATAAAAGTTAGTAATTAACATGAGATTCTATAATAATAGGTTTGAAAATAAATCATATACAACTTTTAGAAATTTTAAGTATTGTGCAGGGTCAAATTTTAAGTGTATCCACTACAACTAAGACTGTATATGACTACCCAAGCAGTACAGAGACAAATATAACCTCAGTTAAACTTTAAAAATGAAAGAGAGAAAAATGGAAGCATACTAAAGAGCAAGGGAAATTAAAACAAAAATGATAGAAACAACTCTAAATAAATGAATAATTGCAACATAATATAAATGAACTACTCTGACTAGTTAAATGACAGAGAATATCAGAGTAAATAATAAAATCCAACTGCCTATTAAAAATATATGTATGAAGCATAAGACAAAGAAGTAAAGCCAGAGTCAATCAACTTCAGAACTGTTGATATTTTGGGGAGTGTTAGGAAAAACTCAAACCATGTTTTTCCTCTGTTCTCATACCACAACAACAGTCAATACAGACAGAAGTCTTCTGTGACCAAATGTGACGCATTTCTCCCCACCAACAAACAAGCAATCAATTCTGCAGTGGACACCAGTTGGGCATCCTCTAATTCAATTCCAACACTATCTATCTGCAGATAGTGTCAGATGCCACAGGTTGCGGGCTCAGTCTGCAAAACTGCCTCACCTTCAGACACTAATTCTAAGTCTGGGCCTCCAGAACTTCTGACCAACTGGCTTCAAGTTAGAGTTTCCATGACCTCATCTTTGGGTTCAATTAATATACTAGAGAAGCTTCCAGAGCTCAAGGAAATAGTTAACATTTATAGATTCATTATAAAAGATATTATAAAGGGTACAGTTAAACAGCTGTATGGAAGAAATTCATAGGGCAAGGCATGTGAGAAGGGGTGCACGTTTCCGTACCCTCCTCAGATGAACTACCCTCCAGGGATCTTCACATATTCAGCTATCAGGAAGCTCTCCAAACCCTGTTCTTTTGGGTTTTTATGGAGACTTCATTATGTAGTCGTGATTGGTGAAACCAATGGCCATTGGTGATCAACTTCACCTTTAGCCCCTCTTTCCTCTCCTGAGGTTGGAGGGTGGGACTGAAAGTCTCAGCCCTCTAATCCTGCCTTGGTCTTTCTGGTGTCCAGCCCCTAGGGGCTTGAATTTACCTAGGGGCTGCCAACCATCAGTCAATCATTAGCACACAAAAGACATCCCTTTGGAGATTCCAAGGATTTTAGGAGTTATATGAAGGAAGCAGAGATGGGGGTCTGGGAGTAGGGGATGAAGACCAAATATGTATTTCACAGTATCAGAGGGGGGAAAATTCCTTTTTTTGTGGGAGGCTATCCTGTTAATTGTAGAATGTTTAGCAGCATCCATAGCCTCTACCCAATAGCATTCCCCTTGGCACTTTGTTGTTACTATCCAACCTTGTACCTTGCCCACTGCCCAGATAAAGGCCGATATACGGAGACAACAGGTGTTGCAGCAGAGAAAAAGTTTAATATCAAAGGTGTCAGGTGAAGAGATGGGAATAATTTCTCAAATCTATCTCCCCAAGAATTTGGGGGCTAAGATTTTTAAAGGTAGCTTAGCAAACAAAGGGCTAAGGAATTAGGTCTGGTGATTGGCTGGGGATGAACTCATAGGGTTGGGAAGCAGAAATTTACTTCTTGGTAAACATGAGTTCCTGGGTAGGAGGTTGCATGACTTGCTGGATTGGTTCCCATGCATGGCCACTGGTCCAGTTGACATCAGTTGGTCCTCCCCGAACACAATCTAGAAGATATCTCAAAGACTAGTTTTAGGTTTTACAATAGTGATGTTTTCTATAGAAGCAGTTGGGGAAGTCACAAATCTTGCCCTTGTCAAGGATACATGACACTTAAGCAGTAAGCAGTAAGCAAATTAGGGAACAATGGCTGGTTAACTTTGCTATATCTATACTTCTGTAGAAATCATACTTTTATCACTATTCCTGCCTTATGGCCTTACATTATTTTCATATAGGTGGTTTCATTGTGACAGAAAAAAATATCTTCACACATTTCTACATGTCCCCTAGGGAGCAAAACCACTCTCAGTTGAGAACCACCAAAGTGAAATGATTGACAAAGCTTTAACAGCATAACCAAAATGAAGCTGGGTAGAAGTATTAATTTTACATGCAATAACCTTTAAGAGATAAAGCATATTTTGGGCATATACAAGTCATTAAGTAATTACAAAAGTTGTGGTTCACCTGGAAGCTATCAAAATTCTAAAATCAGATGCACAATTAAAAATATTAAAATAGATAGGATATTAAAACACATATCTTAGGTATTTATCAGTCCAGAAGACAGAATACTTGAAAAATATATTTAAAAAGCTTTATTCATATATAGAAAATATTGCACCTTACAATTAGAGAATACACATTTTTCTCAACCAAACATGAGATATTTACAAAAATTGACAATGTATGACTATAGTTACAGTTCAAGTCTCAAAAATTTTAAAGAATGGATATCAGATAGACTATTCTCTGATAATAAATGTAATAAATTAAAAATCAATAAAGAAAAGATACTCCATGAGTTAGGAAATGTTCAAACAAACTTCTACAGAGTCAAAGAAGAAATCATTGAATTTTACAAATAAATAGCAATTAAAATACTATAATCGAATCATGAAAACAACAACATTCATGGGGAGTTATGAGTTTATAATATAATCAAATACTATAAATATCATCTGGATATTAGAACTGAAAACTAAACTTGAAACAGATACTGGCACTTTTGCTTCTTTTAGACAGACAATTAGGTCTCAATCGTTGTTAACTATATCTGTTATATTAAATAAAGATCAAAATTTAAGTGATTTAGGATAAAAAATTCTTAATAGAGTGCAGCAAAAATTGTACTTATATGTAAATATATAGCCTTAAATGCTGATATTAGAGAAGTAAAGAGGATGGGAAATTTCAAACCTTTGACATAATAAGAATTTTATAGGCCAGGCATGGTGGCTTAAGCCTGTAATCCTAGCACTCTGGGAGGCCAAGGCAGGTGGATCGTTTGAGGTCAAGAGGTCGAGACTAGCCTGAGCAAGAGCAAGACCCTGTCTCTACTAAAAATAAAAAGACATTAGCTGGACAACTAAAATTATATATAAAAAATTAGCCAGGCATGGTGGTGCATTCCTGTAGTCCCAGCTACTTGGGAGGCTGAGGCAGGAGGATCGCTTGAGCCCAGGAGTTTGAGGTTGCTGTGAGCTAGGCTGATGCTATGGCACCCTAGCCAGGGCAACAGGGTGAGACTCTGTCTCAAATAAATAAATAAATAAATAAATAAATAAATAAATAAATAAATAAAAATAATAGATTAAAACCATGGAATGTAAAAAGATAAGATGATAAACAATAGAAATTAAGGAATAGAAAAAAAATACAAAATAGAGCTCAGTGAATCCAAAAGTTGCTTCCTTGAAAGACCAGTACAATGAACACTAATACAGTGAAGTCGATGAGGAACAAAATAGAGAAGAAACAAATATTAGGAATAAGGGAGCATAACCATTTATCCAATGGAGAAAAATGAGAAAATCAAAATACTATGAAGAAATCTATTATAATACATATGAAAATATAAGTGAAGTGGGAAAGTTGCAGAAAAATACAATTTAGTAAAACTATATTGGGAATAAATAGAAAGTCCTTGAGTCAATACTTGAGATCTTCTCATGAGAAAACATCCTTTGATGATTTTATAGCCAAGTTTTACTAAATGTTCAGGAAACCGATACATCAAACTATGGAATTAGAGATAATTTGCTCTAATTTGTTGTATGATCTCAGAAAATTTTTATTTTAAAAGTAGGCAGTAACAGTATGAGAAAGGGAA